AGTAGTATGAATCAGTTATTCTACTTATTCTACTCTAGCTTGAAACACAGGAGATGGGAGCAGAAGTAAGCCATTTGATGCACATTTCTGAATATGTAAGATCAATACAGCATCTTTTAGTTATTGCTTTTCAAGGTTGAAAAACACACATTGTTCAGTTTCTCTAAATAGTTCAGTCCATTGTTGCTGGAGATGAATCTCAAATGTTCTCTCTGAACTGGATCTTCCACATTTTTACCCATCAAATTTCTTTCAATCTCCAGATATATCTCATCAATGGGACACACGTGTTGTTCGTTTTACCGTCTTCAAAGTCAACTCCTAACCACTGAATTCTAGTTCTTGATTCCTTGCTATCATCAGCAATCGTTAGTTTTCTTCTTTTCGTGATAGTGGATGGACAAGTTGTTTCCAAAATGGTTTAATGGTAGGAGACAAAAAAAACTCACCAGCCTTACAAGGATGCAAAACTATAGTTATGAGGAGACAGAGATTCAGAGACTACTTCTACTGGTGCAAAAATGGCTATGAGAAAATGGAATAAAAGTTTAAGACATTTTTATAATTTTATAAAGTGGTGAGGAGAATACTGATATTTCTAATTAAGCTTATCACAAGGAGAACTTTCTTTTCACAGCATTTGCCAATAATTGAGGCAGTGACTACTGTCTCATTTAAGGGAACAGTAGACAGAGATACAATACTGTGAGGAGAGGATGGAGCCTTGTGAATGCTTTTGAATTCACTGCTCACAGAAATGATTAATTGCATTTCTTTTGGGCATTGCAAATCTTCACTGATTTTGAAGTCTCTGCCCAAACGTTTCAGACTACTTATCTTACATCAAATCTTCTGCCAGCTCAATATTGGGAAGACTGAAATCATTGTCTCGAGTCCCTTCCACGAAGTCTGCTCCTTTGCCACTGACTCCATTGCCACCCCAGGCACTCTGCAGCTGAATTAATCTATCAATTAATGTCCTGATGTTCAGTGTCATGGAGAAGAGGAAAGTTGAATCCCTCTGCTAGATAAACTAATATCACAAGCCCCAATCTGTTATGGTGGGGAATAGAGGTTCCCTTCCAAATATTAAACCCAAAACACCAAAGAAGCTCGCGTCACCTTTATAATCTGTTAAAAGAGTGGTTAAATGAAAGAAAATCCCTGATATCCACTTTATACTTAACAAGTAACAATTTATTTATTTAACCCTAACAGTGAACAAATTAACAGACTTACTAACAAACCGAACAATTTCCCCCTAGACTACTTATTACTCCCTAACTGGCCTAAATTCTACTGGAATGCTGTTCAAATAAACACAAGTCCCATGTTTATAAACCCACTTAAAAAGACAATAATAAATTAAAACTTAATCTCTCTATAGTCACACAGACTGTGTCTTCTGGAATATTCTGCCTTCTCTGTTACACCACAAACACCTTTCTTCCGCTGATTCTGCTGTCAGGGATGTTTTTCTCTGTAATTTCTTTGGTGACGACTTTGAGCTAAAATGCTGTGATATCTTTGTCGGATACATGGTGCTTTCTTGGAGAGCTTAGTGAGATTTCTTGTGAGAGCTCAGGGCTTATTTCTCAGATAGTGGGCTTGCTTTCTCAGATGACACTTGGCTCTCACCCCAATTTTCAAAAACCCTTGTCTCATATACCCCCCGATGACGCATCAATTTCTTATACTATCATTAGTTTCAGGTTGTCAAAACCATCAGTTTTAAATTCAATTGGTTTTCTATATCTAGTTGCTTGGTTTAAATTAATTGGCTAAATTCAACCCTGTTGTCTCGATACCAAAACAAAACTGCTGTTTTGTTTGCCAATTGTAAGGCCGTTTGATATACTTGTTTCAATTTTGGGGCTCACTGTACAGTACTTGTTAACTTCAAGCAAAGACAAAGCACAATCTCTTAAAAGGACTATGCACTGCTTTTCCCCACTATCATTTTTACCAACAAATTCTAACTTCCTGCCTTCCAATTCATGAATACTCTATTACAACTTTGTAAAATCAGTTAAATTCTGAATTGACTGGTAAATCTCACACGCTATCCAATAGTATTCTGCATATTTACATATTCACAAAAGTGCCCATCCATATCTCTACCTCAGTCCCTCTGTTGTGAAACTTTCACGCTGTCTTTATCACTGTTAATCTTAACAATTTAAGACAACCAGCAGTATTTAAAATCCTCGAATTTCTAAACCTGTATCTCATGTTTTCTAGCATTTTTTTTGCTCATTCCCACTTCCCCACCTCCTCTCCTTATTGACATACACTGGCTTGCCATTCTTCCCTGGATTAAATGCAATATCCCAGCTCTAATTATTTCCAATCTTTCTCATCGTTCACTTCTTGGAATAACACTGTTTGCTCTAAACTTGAGCATGTAATCTATGCTGCTATAGCAGTACCGAGGTAGAGCTATAATACTAGAGGTGCCATTTTCAGCTTAGACAATCAAGTGAGACCTATCTGCTTTGTTGGGCAGATACTAAAAATCCCTTGGCACTATTATGAAAAACAGGAAAGTCATGGTATTCTGGTTAATATTTATCCCTCAATAAAAATGTAAAAAATACATTACCTGGTTGTTACATCATTACTGTTTGTGGAGGCATGTTGCATAAAAAATGGCTGCCACATTTCCTACATTGCAGCAATCACAACATTGCAAAAATACTTCATGCCTGTAAAGAGCTGTGGAACTGACTGGTTGTGAATGGTGTCATGTAAACTCCAGTATTTTACTTTAAGAATTAAGTTGCATTCGCCTCAGAAACTGTTACTTTAATCTAAGATACATTGGTTCTGTATCTTACTATGTCCAGAAATAAGGAGTTTCAAAGCTTGGTTAAAAAAAAAATCAATTGTTTGTTTAAGTGAAAAACCAAAGACGTAAATAACACTCAAAAAACACTTAACATTGAACATGTATACAAGTTATTGAAATGAAAATATTGCTCAAACCTGTCTCTACTTTTCACTGCACAAAATCGCATAACCACTTTGTTGAGGTACGTTTGTAAGGCTCAACTAACTATAGTCTATTACAGTCTGACAATATTGTGTGACGATCTTTTGATCAGATAGCTGGTAAATATACAAGTAAGGAACTGAAATTGTGCGCTAACTCTTCAAAATGCAACAAAATCTAAACATTACCATGTCCACTGGACTTTTAGGTCATTGATTTATGTCAGTTAAAGGGATGGAGGGAGATGAAAGGGAGGAAAGTGGTATTGAGGTTAAAAAAAAGGCAATATTTTGTTTAGAATTAACTACAATGTGGTAATGGAAGTAATCAATTTGACGAAAACTAATTTGCAATCAGTTTGAGTAGGTTCTGGTTATTGCAGTGCTCAGAAATGGCTTCAGTTGGCACTATTGCCACCTGAGTTAACTTGTGAGTTCAAGTCCCACTCCAGAAACTTGAGCAATAAATCTAGATCAGTGCTCCAGTGCATGGAGACTGGACTGCTGGAATTGATGTCTTTCCAGACAAGACTTGAAACTAAAATCTCACCATGTCTCTCAGATGCACATAATTTTTTTTTGATGTCCTGACCAATACTTATCCTTCAATTAACTGTTCGAGAAAACAGATCATCTGGTCAATGCTGTTTTTGGGAGTATCTAGTGCATTTGTCTAATTGGCTACATTAATTGTAATGTAACATTACATTTTCACGTTGCAACAATGACAAAGTTTAAAACTATCTGTAGAGCGCTCAGGGATGTCCAAGGAAAGTGAAAGGGACAAGTGAAATCTAAGTCTTTGTACTTGTTACCATTTGTTACAACAGTGACTGGAAGTCAAAAGTACTTCATTAGCTGTAAAATGTTTTGTAAGGTCCTGAGGTTGTAAATGCAAGAATAAGGGAAAAATACGGCAGATCCTGGAAATCTGAAACAAACACAGGGAGGCTGGAGAAACTCAGCAGATCTGACAGCATCTGTAGAGAATGTTAATGTTTCGAGTTTGATATCATTCTTGTTCAGATGTCACCAGATCTGCTGAGTTTCTCCAGCATTCTTTGTTATATAATGCAAATCTTTCTTTTAGCAGGTGCTGTGTGCAAGATGCTGTGCCTGTAAAGCGATGAACACTTGTATTTTCCCATTTTTGAATAATTATTGTGCATTTATACAGATTTGTGATAATACAAAGAGTTGAAACACCAACTCATTGAATCATAGAGTAATACAGCATGGAAACAGGCCCTTTGGCCCAAACTAGTCCATGCTGACCATGGTGCCCATTCAGCTAGTTCCAATTGCCCACATTTAGTTCATATCCCTCTAAACCCTTCCCATCTATGAATCTATCCAAATGTTTTTTTACATGTTGCTATTGTACCTGCCTCACCCACTTTCTCTGGCAGTCCATTCCACATATACACCACTCTCTGAGTGAAGAACTTGCCTCTCAGGTCCTTCTTAAATCTTTCCCCTCTCACCTTAAACCTATGTAATTTTTGATAACCTTCCTCACTATCAATGATACCTCCTAATTTTGTATCATCCGCAAAATTACTAATCATGCCATGTACATTCGCATCAGATCATTTATGACCCTGTGGCACACCACTAGTCACAGGCCTCCAATCCGAGAAACAACTTTCAACCATCACCCTCTGCTTCCTACCATTAAGCCATTTTTGAATCCAATTGGCTAGGTCTCCCTGGATTCCATGCGACCTAACTTCCATGACTAGCCTGCCATGCAGGACCTTGTCAAAGGCCTTACTAACTCTAAAATGTTTGGGATATGTAACAGATTCAATACACTGAATTTCTTTTTTTAAACCTTTCTCTGTTTTTTCATCCCAATTTCATTTTCTTTTTGATGGAGTGATGGATGGTATCATGACGGACTGTGCATAATTGTTGGCTAGAAATAAATATGCTAGAAAGGATGCCAGGATATATGACTTGAAACACGGAAGCATCAGTGAAATAAATAGATTTACAAACTTCTTACAGTTAGGAAATTGACTTCCTCGATATATTATTCTTAAAAAGATACTATTGTTTATTGAAAGCACCTAACAAAGTTTACCATTTGATAAAGGAAAACCACTGTATCTGAAAACTAAGACTATTATTCATTTACGCTCTACTGTGTATTTACAGATAAGTAATTATTTATTACAAGTTTGGCATAGATTTTCAATAACAGGCTTAATATTTTAAAAAGTGTACTGCTTGACAGTGCCAAAAGCATAACATACACCACAATCAACAAAAGAACTATCAATTGCCTGATCACCAGTAAAATTATAGCAAAATAAATCAGTCTTTGATAGTGTAACTAAAAAGGCAGCTTTTCAACTACCTCTTTCAACAAGGGAACAGATGTCTTTACAGAGAGATACAATGGCATCAAGTGTCTTCTTTTGCTTTGCTTTCGGGCTCTTTCCAAGCCTTGGCGTATCTTCAGAGGCCTCTGAGATCAATTTTACACGAGCCAGAAAGATCTGAGGTTCCTGTGCTCCAAGCCACAAGTCCCACACGTAAACCGAGAGGAGAAACAAAGTTGCTGCTGTGAGAAGACAGAACCACACATCTTAAAAATGTTATAACCACTGGTACTAAAAACCGTAAGGTACATTTTACAGGGGATAACCTTTGAATGCCTTATCTATTTTTGCTGAGTGTGTGCTATCATGTAAAGGCACGAGACTGTCCCTCTTCCATCAAAGATTCTACATCCTCAAACGATGAAGTACTGTAGCTGAGAGGGGAACACGCGCATTCTGCATTCTCAGCTATGATGCTGGTCATGCTCATATCTCTAACGACCTTGCCCATTCTTTCTTCTATTACCATCCCCAGCCCTAAAATTCTGCACCAACTCTTCATCTCTTGTGCTACATCGTTCACTCTACTATTAGCATCCGTGCCTCAAGATTCCGGGTCATAACATTTGGATTTCCCTGAACCTCTCCATCATTCTAATTTTAACATGTTCCTTAAAATTTATCACTTTGACCCAGCTTTTGGTTACTTGAAGGGCTGTCTTCTCCTTTTATTCAATGTCAGTAGTGTTTCTGAATTTGTTCTTGTGAAATTATTTGCCATTTTAATACATTAATGGACTATTTAAACATTTGTCATGTCACTATAAATGCCTGTCAGAAGATGCATGATAGCGGCTCACATGATGTATTTCCCTCCTTGCCACAACTGGTCTTTGTTTAGTGCAATACAGTTACCCTCTGATGCTGTGCATTAGTAATACAATGCTGAAAGCTCAACTACTCATTTGCCTTATTTTAAACTATTAATGCTCAAATAACTGTTAATTAAGTTCATATGCAATTTATTACTTCTGTCAACCAGTGCTCAGCTAGTGTTGCACCGAGCCACTCTGCTTCAGACTTCATTGTAGTCTTGGTTCAAACATTGAGAAAATGCTAAGTTTTAGCAGACACTGACTGTCCTTGACTTCAAGCCAATATCTGATAGAGTATAGCATCAAGGAGCCCTAGCAAAATATGATTCTTGGCAACATTGAGAGTCAATTAATTTTGGGGAAAAACTCTTGACTATAGTTCCCCTAAGAGTAGCTGTTCTGTATGACAGAATAAATCATGAGATAATGAGGGTATCTAAAAAATTCTGTACATTAATCATACATTACTTTAACCTTCATGTAGAGTAAGAAAATCAAATTGGCAATGGTAGCCCTGAGGGAGAATTCATAAGATGCATTTGGGACATTTTCTGGGATTAATAATGTTTTGTATCCAACCAGGGATTGGGCTATTGTGGTTCTGGTGATGTGTATGACACAGGTTTAACAAATGATCTCAGAGTAAGAGACAACAAGGTGCAGAGCTGGATGAAC